TATCTATCTATCTATCTATCTATCTATCTATCTATCTATCTATCTATCTATCTATCTATCTATCTATCATCTATCTATCTATCTTTGGATGGAATGTTGTTACCACAATCCAGAAAGTGAAGCCAAAATAAAGAAGCGAATGGGATCAGGATACATATTAAATGTGGTTTTATTTTCATTTAAATTTAATACAATTAAGTCACAGACTCAATACTGTACAGATCCCATCAGTCAAGGAATTTTGGTGGGCGGGGTCTAGGAGAAGATCTTTGTCTGCCATGGTTCCTGCCCTTTGGAACATCTTACCGCTGAGATGAGATTGGTTCCCAACCTCCTGACTTTTTGTAAGAGCCTTAAAATCTGGTTCTTCCAGAGGGGTTGGGGTCCCAATGGGGGAATTTTACACTGAAGGTGGTTGACTAACTAATTACACCTCCCCCTACCCCATATATATGGCTCCCTCCTTTTCCATGATTTTGTAGAGGATGCAATAATGCAGTGGCTTAATGATGTTGGAACTGCTGGCCAGAAATGGTTTGCACTCCAGCAGTTCGAGCCTGGCTCTGTGTGATTGGGTGAGCTCCTGTCACTTGTTCCTCAGTTCCTGCCCACCAGGCAGTTTGAAAACATGCAACCCGGGTGCTGCTAGTCAGCTGGTGTAAACTAGTTCACCCCTTGTGGTGCACCAAGGATAGGCATGCAAGCACATTTTGTCTTGCACTTGTACATTGCTTTGACATTGTATGCCATACACTAAATAAATAAATTAATGATTTGTCTCTTCTATAATTTTATATTCTATGATTTTAATGTTTTTAATGTGTATTATGTTGTAAGCTCCCCAGATTCTTTTGAAATGAGATAAGTGGCAACTAAATTTAATTAATAAATAAATTTAAATGCAATTAATATGTTACTCCTTGAATGTTGCTGGTAAAGTTTAAAAGAGTAATGGTGGTTAATTGCAAATCTTTTACATCTTCAGAACGTGTGGCTCTGTGCCCTTGGGTTGTGGCACTTGTAGATTATAAAGACAAAAAAAAAGGAACTCCATAAATATATACCATATTATAATTGAAGATGCAGCATAAATCTATTTAGCCCCCAAAACAATTATCTTGAAATCTGATCTATATAGCCATAATATAGATCAAAGTGGGGCTATAAAATACTTGCCAGAACCATAGAAACTTAATCCAATGAAAAACAAATTGCAAAAACTGACTTCAGAGAACAATTAGAAAAAACAATTACTACCAACCTACCTTCAATCAAGGACCTGTATACTGCACGAATCAAAAAGAGGGCTGTGAAAATATTTACAGACCCCTCACATCCCAGACATAAACTGCTTCAACTCCTTCCCTCAAAACGACACTATAGAGCACTGCACACCAGAACAACTAGATACAAGAACAGGTTTTTCTCAAACGCCATCACTCTGCTAAACATAATTGTTAAACTGTAAAAACTGTACTCATCTGAGCAAAACAAAGAAATTAGGCGCATTCAGCTGGAATTTTCATATTAGCTTTCTCTGGGGATTAACAAATCATTATTTATATTTCCTTATCTACTCCTGGACACATATAATCTAGTCAAGAGCTGGGATTATATTAACACATGTTCTATTAAAAATTAAGGATGACTTTTTCTTTTTCTTAAAACTTATGTATTACACCTCTGTAGACTTGTGGTTACATTAGAAAATAAAACTTTCTGAAAAGAGACTTCACCTTTAGTTCTATCCAGTAAAATTGAACACATACCCACATATGTCAATGTACATACATACACACTTTTACAGGACCCATTCATTTAAAGCTTTGATTACACTATTTCTCTTGTGCAATGTCTTTCATGTTATTTTTTTCCATTATTAAAAGATTTTGTATAAATACAGTGCCTACAAAAACTCCATGGCTAAGAAGAGAAAAGCTGAAGAACAGATTTTGGAAGTTCCAATCAACAAAAGGAAATCTCTGTTAATGAAGCCTCGCCACTACAATCCCATCTTGGAAGGCAAAGGAGAGAATGAAGGCAGGACACACTTTCAGGACAATAATAATGTTCTCCAAACAGGTATGAAAAAGCATGGATTCTAACTTAATCAATATTTCCTAACACTCTCCAAAGAACAGAAGGGAAATCCTATCACTAGACACTCTTCAAAATTTTATCAGAAAGCCAATGTAGTATCGCTGTTAGCCTGTAAAACAATTGGGGACATAGCTCATTGGAGGACTTTGGACCAGGCATTCTTATTATTCTTATTGACCTGACTTGTGCTGCAAGAATGGTACATTGGTGAGAATGATAATGGTAGTGATGATGATGATGATGATGATGATGATGATGATGATGATGATGATGATGATGACAACGATAAAATTAAAAGTGGATCATGTTTAGGATTTAGGGTGTGTAAAATATTCTAAGCTGGAAACATTCTGAGCTCAAAACAACCATTCCAACGATTTGGTGCTCCAAGCAAAACATGCTCAGTGTTTATCCCAAAGGTGCTTTTTCCAGAGGTAACTAAACTTTCTGGTTTTTCTTTGAAGACTTTTGCTTCACATCCAAGAAACTTCTTCGGCTCTGATTGGATGGTGGGGAATGGAAGGATTTATATTCCTTGCAGACAGCTGGTCATTTGTAAGATAATAAATCCTTCCATTCCCCACCATCCAATCAGAGCTGAAGAAGCTTCTTGGATGAGAAGAAAAATGTCTTCAAAGAAAAACCAGAAAGTCTAGTTACCTCTTGAAAAAGCACCTTTGGGACAACCATGACCTGGATGACTGAGAATCTTCATAGTGTTTCATACACCAGAATGGAATATTCTAGATTCTTCTCAGAACTATGTTTAGATTTCATTTTCTAGCTTGTGATTAGGTTATTGTTTAAAAATAAATATCCCAGCCAGTAGAGCAAGAGTTATAACAGATACTACTATTGGTTTACCACATGGGGTGAAATGGTTGGTGGGATGGTGGGACAAATAGCAGTTATATCATGACTATTATGTTGGTTTAAATTTGTGCATTTATATGTGCTCATACGTACTCATGTCTGCTGTTGATATTGAGCTTTTAGTGTACATTTAAAATGGTAAAACCTGGGTGTTGATTCTGTTTTATACTGAGTTTTGGTGCATATGTGCACTATATGCATTATATATATGCATGCATTTGTGTCCTATAGTATTTTGATTTTGCTTTACTAAAATACTACTCAACATCCCCTCCTTTTTTTAAATTATAACAAATTTTTTTTTTTTACTGGCCTTGGGTTAGAGTTAAACAGGCAGGCTACCAATAGAAATACGGAAATTGTTACTTGACTTTACTAAGTAGAAACTGTTACTATTTGGGTATTTTAAATAAATACACTTGGTCAAATTTCATATAAATTAGGTGGCTGATAGCAATCAAAATGGATTGTCGTCCCATCTAATTATATAATCCCAAGTAAAAATGGGAAGAGTTTGTTTCAAATTTCTGAAATAGTCAAACACACTTTAAGTTTATTACATTGGAATATGGTCTTTTCAAGCCATGTTTAATTTTGTTCTGTCAGAACACTTCAATTTAAACAAAAAAACATCTTGAGTAAAAGTGTTTCATTCCAAGTTCAAAACAAAGCATATTTTCTCTTGTGTGAATGCCTCTGCTTTGTTGATCAAAAACCTGATGAATCATTTCTTTAAATACAGTAAATACAGTGTGAGTCAGGAAAACAAACCAGTTGAACAAGTCTGCTGAAATCAAAATTCCTGTAAATTTATAGAAATCTAATAACAAATTAATACAGAATTAATCATTGAAAATTGTTTTGTCAAATATCTAAAACAATGAGATTATAAATTCATTTTGTGTAAGATTCAAGTTATAGGTAGCAGGATCTCTTAATCTGCAATCATACACATGAGAATAAATTCCATTACATTTATTGGATCAGATTTAGTAACTTGTTTTTATGATTGCGTACAAGTTACCTAATCTTTTTCAGTCTAATGTATTTTTCAGGATTGTTGTCGGAAAATAGGAAGTGGAGGTATGTTCTAAAATAATAATAATCAAACATATACTTGATCTATACCAGGGGTGTCCAACCTTTCACCTGGGCCACATTAGAAGATGAAAATTTGGTTTGGGACGCACATATAATAAATTATTATAAAATAATTATATTATAAAATTATATAATAAATTATAAATTATTTTTATTATTTATTATTAATTATTTATTAAAAATTATTTATTTTTTATTAATTTTCCGGCCAAATTTTGTGGGGTGGGGGGGGAGGGGGGGAAGAAAGCTCGCCCGCCTCGCGCCTACCTCTCCTCCTGCAAATGGCCCGGCTGGATGCGGCAGGACTGGAAGGCGAGGACCGGGAGGCTCGGTGCAGCAGCAGCAGCGGCAACGGCGACGGGGGCAGAAGCGGCGGTGGCAGGGGGGGCAGAAGCGGTGGCGGTGGCAGGGGCAGAAGCAGCGGTGGCGGCGGGGGCAGAAGCGGCGGTGGCGGCGGCAGAAGCAGCAACGGCGGTGGCAGCGGCGGCGGGGGCAGAAGCGGCGGCGGCGGGGGGCAGAAGCGGCGGCGGGGGCAGAAGCAGTGGCGGCAGTGGGGGCAGAAGCAGCAAAGGCGGTGCCCGCCTTTTCTGTTGCTGCTTGGCGTGGCGCTTGCCTCGCCCCGCCTCGCGCCTGCCTCTCCTCCTCCTCCTCGCTGGCTCTTGCCAGAAGGTTGGGGTGGGCACTGGGCTGCATTATGAGGCGACCTGGGCCGCATGCGGCCCGTGGGCCGCGGGTTGGACAAGCCTGATCTATACAAACCCAACATCACCTAAAGAACTGGTAGCTGTGATTTTACATTTTCTCTGTATAATAATAATATATTGCCATGAGAGGGGGGGGAGCAGACCAGAGGTGGTATTCAGCAGGTTCTGACCAGTTCTGGAGAACCGGTAGCAGAAATTTTGAGTAGTTTGGAGAACCAGCAAATACCACCTCTGACTGGAGATTTTACAGTTTCCTACCCTGCCATGCCCACCAATCCACGCCCACAGAACCAGTAGTAAAAAAATTTGAATCCCACCACTGGAACAGACATAGGATTATGCACACTACTAAATCCCCCCAAAATGACAGGGGGCAGGTACAATAGTTTGTTTCATAGTTCATTTAATTTATTAAATTTAGACTGTAATTGTTATGATTCCCAGAAATTCAAGGTAAAGAACAGAAGGGCATTAAAAATATTAAGAGTTATAAATTAAGAGAATTAAAATCAAAACAAACTACAAAAAAATACAAACATAAAAATTCAAAAAAAATGAAAACTGGGGGTGGGGAGTGTAACAGGAAAAAAAGGGGAAAAGGGAAATGGAAGAAGAAAGAAAAAAAGAAGTGACTTCATCCTGGCAGGGTTTTTAAATAGCTTATCACTTATCTCTGAATAAAGCATAATCTCCATTCTCCCCATAGCTAATCTCATAGTTAAGAAAAACAAAGTTCAAATGCTACTTCAATCAATCTTTCTTATCAAAAGTCCATTAAGGACAACTAGTTACAACTGTTTTCCTCTTTTAAACCTGGTCAAACAAGACAATCTTATAAATCTTTGTTGATTTTAAAAAAATATTTTTAATCCATTTTTTAAAAAAGTCCCAGACATAGTTTGCTTCTCATCTGTGTTTCAAAACAAAATTCCATCAAAACTTTAACAGATTTCTTTTACACCAATAAGTAAAATTTATCCTTGTGTTTGTCACTTCTAAAAAAGTCCTCCCAAATTTTAGCAAAGCTGTTTTGTGCATCCAGAAAAAAAAATCCAGATCAGTTTCCTAGTTTAATATCTGCTTGTTTCCTTTAGGGAATGAGTCATCCAACAGATTCATTTGTTTTACATTTAAATCCTGCTTCAAATTAATTTGATACACATTCATTGCAACCCATTCTTGTTTCACAACTTCATTACAATACGCTCTGTCAATTTTATTAAGCATTTCATCCATTATGTCCTAAAACATGGCTGAAAAGTACTCAAAACTTTGCAGCAATGATTTCTGCTCCCATTTCTTTATCCTCTGGCTCTAATGTCTGACCTTCAAAGTCTCCTTATCATTAAAAAAAAAAAGGATCCTCATTTTCCCATAAGGAAATAATTATCTTTTAAATAATCAAAACTATAATTCCAAATCTTTCTGCCCATTAATCAGTTTTTAAATTTCAAATATATATATTAAGCATCCTTTTGCTGCATAGTCCAAAAAAGCCATATATTTTTAAAACTTTTAAAATCAAAATTATCTCACTGTCTTTTAAGGAGGTAAAAACTCACCTGATGAGTTCATTAAAACCTTGCCAATCCAAAGGGTCTTCATTTCTCCAATAGTCAAACACATTTTTAAAAATCCAAAAATATATTAATGATTACACCTTTCCTAAGTGGTACAAGTTAATAGTCTAGCTATAGAATTCTAAAACATTTGGACTTTTTAAAAATATTTTTCAAAAGTCATCCCATAGAGAATTCAAATAATGTGTACTTAAGGTACATGTCGTCCTAGCTAATTCTGACTTAATAGTCTAAAACTGATATTACATGAGCAGATACAGTATGATTGATACTGACAGTTGCATAGCAAGGGTCATGGCAGATTCTAGAAATAAATCCAAAGTGTAAAAATAAGACATAATGTTTTCTTTCCTCTGAGCTATTTTTTAATTGATTAACTCTGTCTTAAGTGGACTAAAATTCAATCCTCACACCCAATCCATTGCCCCCACTTTATTGTTTTAAAATATTGATTTGGAACTTGAATTTTTTATTGGATTTGAATAGATAGAAGATATCTGAATTAGGTTTCATGACTATTTTAGTACACTATCAAGACCTTGGATACAGGCAAACTACTCTTTTTCCTATGTTGCACATGGATTTACCATACTGATCTATGTCTATCAATCCATATTCTTAGCAGAACAGAGGTATAGCCATTAGAAGACCTTTTAGCCTTCTCTGTCAGCCTTAGAATGAACGATTGCATCCGTTCATAAGTGAGAAGATTTCTCTGCAGTGATATGTAGGCTAACATGTATAGGATTAATCAACTTGTCTTCTGGCTCTATAACTAACAATGCATGCCTGACTGATTCATATTTCCAGACACCAAGCATAGTTTTGAAGAAAAGTCATTTACATTCATGCTAGTTCTACATAACAGTGATCCTGTGCAGTTAAATGTTTAAGATGTACTGAGGAATTCCATAAAATAAAATGGTTCCCCAGTCTCAAAGATAGAAGAGGTATAATTTAGATCCTTTTAATTCTCAAGTAGTTCTTCACATAGAGCTTTTGTCTGATTGTTGATGGTCAAGTCATAATGTTTTCTTACTTCTTTACATGAGCATGTGGGTGTGAATGCATGTGTTCATGCTCAGAATTTACTGGTAATTGTATTTGTCCAACTGAGTAAATAATCTTTGTATATGGTTCAGAGTCCATTCTAGAAACAGATTTAAGCAATGCCAATGCTAGGAGGCTGCCTTGCATTAGTATTTTCATGAATTTAATGGACATTTATAGATCAAGGGACATATCATATTGGTATCCAGCAAGTTTCATGTTGTTTCAGCCCCTCAGTTATTATTGTGTACGTATATGTGATTAATAGTCACATGCATTCTTCTATGGGGGAAGAGGAGTGTATTGCTAGAATAAATCATGCCCTATTTCCTATTTCTGAATAGCTGTTAGGGTAGTAATGATCTCTTCTGAATAACCTCAAACTGATTTCATATGACATAAACTCCAATTCATGCATCTATCTACAAGGAAAATAGCTCTATAGGACATTTCTGTACTATTGACTCATGAATGTTAGATTGGCTGTTGGGGAATTTTTTGTTGTGAAAATGTAAAACATTCATTAAGAGTTTTCCCTCTATTTACCACTTTCCTCTATTTATTAAAATTTAATTAATTTAACTGGAGAAAAGGGGGAACAATAGGAACTTTACTCAGACTTTGCCTGTCTTTTATTAGGACATCCATTAATAAGTGTTTGAATTTTTGTTATCTTGCCTGATGTTCTTGATTGCTCCCTTCTATCCCTTGAAGAAAGAACATTTACAAATAAAGTTGTGTTGGAGTTTTCAAGTCAGGCAATAACAGCAACAGTAACAACAAATGCCTGACAAGTAGTTCAAAAAGGGCTCCATCCTTTGGTATGGGGCCCAGTTTCTGGAAGAAAATGTGTAAGAAACAATTAATAAATATTTTTCTTTTAATGTATAACAAACAGTTGAACCAAACAATTATGTAAACTGGAAATGACCCAAAACGCTAACAGTTTGGCAGCTATAAAGTGAAACACATTGTAGAGGCACATGTGCACTTTTATCCTCCTCCCCCCTTCCACAATAATCTGCACTTAATAGGAATATTTTAAACTATGTAACTAAGCAACAGAGGTAATTGTTGCTTTCTAGAGCTTTTGTTAGGCACTCCACCATAGCCCAAATATGCATAATTAGGTATAATGTCTATAAATCATTATTGTACACATGTGGGTAGTTAAGTGGCTTGAGAGAATAGTTCAATGAATTGGACATATTCACCGAAAATGCTTTTTATTTGTTTTCGGTAGTTGATAATACTTTGAAATTATGATAACCCTTTATACTTTCTCTTAATAGCTTACTGTTGCTGAGACAAAACTTGATTTGCATTTCTGGATGATATTTAAGTTAATATTTAAACCCAGAGTTGGTTTGACATGGATTCCGCAAAGAACCAGACTGTCTTATTTTTTATTATGCACTTGTTTATCTCATTTTTTTCTCTTCTAGGAAGTAAAGTGCAAAACGTTCCAGTTTATATTGAATGCATCCCAACAAAAGAATGCACCCTATAATCAGCATTATTGAAGGGGCTAGTGTTGTGGCTAAATTCTTCCCTTCATCCAAAAATGCTTTTAGTTACTATGGTAATATTTACTTGATCCTGGCAGACCAGTGTTGATTTTAGGGAGATAATTACCAGAAAGGAAGATGATGGAGATGTATTTTGGAGTGTCCTTGTCAGGAAAAAAAATGTTTAGAAAAAAAAGTAGATAACACAAAGGATTTGTTGTCTTTTGGCATTTGAGATTCTTTTCCTTGTAGCTACTACCAATTGTTTTGTCATGTAATCTCAAAGAAAAAGTGCTTCTCAGTAAAGGACATGTATATGTTGAAATTCTTTAAGAAATCTAATACATCATCTTTTAATAATATAATCAATTCGAAATATAGAGAATTGGAAAAGAATTAGCATTGTCAAAGAAGATTCAGAAAAAAAAAATGTTTTCATCAACATGAGAAAAGTGTCAGCTGCCAGTTTCTGTATTATATTTGTGTTTTTGCAAGCTCTATTGCTTCAAAGCAAAAATTAAATACACCCATAAGTAAGAGAGGCATTTTTCCCACTGTTCAGCATATCCATGTTCATATTGATAGTTTACCAATTTAGCACACAATAATTCACTAATCAATTCAGTGATTTCATTCTGCATTCAATTATGAAGTTGCCTTTAGCTTTACTTTGTATCTATGGATTGTTTTTCCATGAATTCAGTAAGCCAGGTACAAAATATCTCTTTTACATAGTGTTGCATACAAACCCAGTCTCTTTCTGATAATATTTAACTTAAGAAGAATTATAGATATGTCTGTCTGCCTTAACATATGAAGCAGTGGTCACAATACAAGTCACATCTCACAATATTATAGTTGTTTTATATTTTGGGACCAATTATATAATTTTATCATGGATAATAGTTTGGTTATTTAGTGTACTTTATGTTTATTTCTTTAAAGGAATGTTTTGCACAGTATAATTTCATATAAATCAAGAAAGAAACTTTAAATGAATTTTAAGAATGTTTGACCTGGAGTATTCTCACTGACATTGATTGATTGATTTTGTGCCATCAAGTTTTTTCCAGTTCTTAAAAACCACATAGGTAGCATTTTCCCAGGATCTCTTTGACATAGGTAGATTAATTTATAGTTAACAGATTTGTTGATTGTGGCCAAAACAGAAGTACTTTAACTTAGTCTTCTCTGTTTCTCTCTATCTAGAAAACACCACTTTAATGTCAGCAAAAAGTATCTCATATTTCAACATGCAAGAAAATGATCTTCAAAAGGACAATTTCACAAACTGCCAGGACACAATGACCAATACATTAATTAATTTTGAAAAAATAGCAAAAGATGCACCAAATTCCCTAGAGAATGATAAACTAAGTGATAGTGACAACCATCCCTTAAAAACAGAGAATAAGAACATTGCTGCATGTTATGGAATTAATTCTTCTGTAAGAAGGGACAGAATTACTGTTCCACATCCACAATACTGTTCTTCAGAAGATAATGAAAGTAGCTCTGAAATTCTGGACAATGAATGGGATAGTTCCTCAAATTTTTCTGAAGAGATAAGTATAAAACTGCCTTTAAATAAAACATATCTTGTAGGGTGTAATCAGGAAGAGGTTCTAAAAACACCTGGTGTCAAAGCTGAAGAAAAAGATGTTAACAATTCTGAAACTTTTGGTAGTTTGAGATCTGAGCTGCAAGAATCACAGGACTCACATGTTGACACTTTCAGCAGTAGAATGCAGAATCCATTTCCAGATTGTGAAGAAGATGATTATCTATCAGAAAATACAGAACAGTCATTTGACTTGGATAAAACAAAACAGAACTTAAATTTGTTGGAACAAGCGATAGCTCTTCAGGCAGAGCAGGGTAACGTCTTTAATAGCACTTACAAAGAACTGGACAGGTTCCTACTGGAGCATCTTGCAAGTGAAAGAAGACAAGCCAAAATAGTTGACCTTGGTGGTAGAGCAGTCTTTAACCACAAGCGTAAGTCTACTTCCTTTGTACACAGTAAATTACACATTCAGTTAAACTGTTTTGAGTTTTAGCTAGAACATTGGCTTTTGAGCACTCCATTGGGTTTTTCACTCATGTTTAATATGATATAAAAAGTTTTGATAAGGAATTTCATGCTTTCCTGCCTCCATGGCTATTACAAAAATGATACCAATAAATGGGAGATTTTCTCCAGGGCTTCAACAACATGGCTGCCCCCCAAAATTCCTTTCCATTCCCTTTCCCCTGCCCCCTGTGTTGAAAAGTACTGCTTGAATGGTTATTTATACAATTTATACATGACTTCTATTTGTGAAAGATTTCAACTTATCATGGAAACATTTAGTGGACTACATTCCCATCACTAGTTTGCAATGGTGCAGTATCCTCTTCTTCCAAACATCTCATTATTGTGTTATGATTCAGGTAATGGGGAGAACAGAAAGAGATAACTTTCTTTACTTCCACAATACTATAGGTAATCCTCGATTCATCACCAGAATTGAGCCCCAAATTCCCATTACTAAGCAAGAGAATTGCAAAGTGAGTTCCAGTTCATTTTACAGCCTTTCCTGCCAGAGTTGTCAAGTAAATCATTGTAGTTGTTAAATTAGTATCACAATTTTTAAATACATCTGGCTTCCTCATTGACTTTGCTTATCAGAAGGTCACAGAAGATGATCACCTGACCCCGGGACACTAAATATGAACCAGATGCCAGGCATCTGAATTTTGGTCACGTAACCCTGGGGAGGCTATAATGGTGAAAAACAGTCATAAGTCACTTTTTTTAGTGTCATTGTAACTTCAAATGGTCACTAAATTAATGGTTGTAAGTCAGGGATTACCTGCATTTGATTCAGTTGGAAGTGCAACAAAGCTCTTTGGATTGACCCAGTGACAAACAAAAAACAAAAAACAGTGCACTACACATAGAGAAAACACTTCTGTGGGTGTGTATTTCTGATCCAAAATTATATTTTAAACAATAAAATCATTTTAGAGGAAATATTACCATACCATATAGGTACAGTATGTGTAACTAAATCATCTCTGAATATAATATCTATCCTTGCATATTCCACTGGGTTTGTTAAATGATAAGTTTCTAGTAAAAGCTAGATCATTCACAGTTATAGGATGGATTTCAAAATGTTTTTAGCTGTGAATTTTAGAATTTTCACTGCCAAACTTATCAATAGGTAAATTTTATGATGTTAATTGTTTGAGCAATGGAAGATCTTTAGGAGAAAATAATTCCATGTAAAAGAATGAATGTAATTTTACTTTGAATTGTATTGTATATTGTATCTATTAATAATATTTTATCTGAAGTTATTATACTAAAGAAGACTATACAATGTATGGGTTCCAAAATATGCCTGCTATATTAAAGGATAGTTTCTTTGTAAACTCTTATCAGCCTGACTGGCTTTTATCTATTGTAGAAATATGGTATTGTTACATTATCTTTATTTCTGCTAAATGATATCTTCCAAGTCTATTTTCATGTTTTCTTGTGACAGTAGCATAGGCTTTGTTAACTCAGAACATGAGATAGAGAATCCACATTCACCGACCTAAGCAATCTATGTATCCAGGGTCCCAGAAATGTCATATAGGGCCTGAAATGGCATCATTTAAGCCAGGGGTGTCAAACTCATGTCATCACAGTGATGTCATATGACATATCAGGACATTTTCTCCTTTGCTAAACCGGCCGTGGGCGTGGCCAGCACATGACGCATCTGGTCCACTGGCCAGGAGTTTGACAGCCCTGATTTAAGCATTCCATCAAGTCAACAAAGATTACTATGTATTACTGGAACATATAAATGTATCATAACAGGAAATGCATGTAAAGCCAAAGGCCCACAATATAAAGATGTTGGGAATCTGATGCCTGGTAACATTTTGACATGGAGTGTCTAGAAATTATATACGAGAAAGACCTTGAGAAAAGGAAAAAGATTATGTCTAGGGAATAGTCACATAAGACAGAGCATAGTCTACAGCTGCATAATGAAAAAGAGGCTCAGGAGGAACCCTCCCTAACTTCTCAAGATGTAAAGGACACAGCGTAAGATCTGTACTTTCAAAGTTGCAAGATTCTGTTAATATAATCTTTCAATAAAGTAGAATTAGTTCATCTACTCACCTTTCTTGTCTAATCTACCTAAGAAGGCTGACATCTCTTCACTGGAGCCATTTAATTTTGATTGGAGAAGTATACCAGAGATGGAATTCTTGAGAGTGGCCATGGGTTTCTTCAGTAAGATGATATGAAGGGCACATTATGGAGAAAACTTGAATAAGAGCTATTAAATTAACTGCATGGAAAAAAGACAGGAAGCCATAATTGTATACTTACTGAATATTCCAATTATAACTGCAAACTATTTGCCTTACTGTTAGAGACAAACATCCAGACTCACACGTGAAGAAATCAGTTCGTTGTTTTGTTCAAGCCTATACACAGGAATTTTCTCAAACTAACAGTTTGCATGTGAGTGAGATTAGATAAAGTTCAGTGACTTTCAAAGGTGGGATGGGATTATAGTTTTGACTTCTTGTGAGCCCATAGAGATTTCTGGCTAATTCCCTGTTTGATTCTTCCCTCTGGCTTAGCCAGTCTCTCTCCAAAATTTACCACTGTAATTTGAAAATATTATGGAAGCAAACAGATCACTTGGTGTTGGTGGAGACAGTTAAAGACATTAAAATGTGTATGTGCCAAAAATGCAACTGGTTAATATAGAAGATACACTAAATTATTTCATTTTGATAAACTGATCAAACTATATCTACGTAATGGATCCAGTCCTTTTTAATGATATATATCTGTAGAAGAACTCTTATTTATTTTCAGTCTGCCATTTTATTGAGGATGCAGAGATGACTCTTGAAAGTTATTTAAATTTAATTCAGTGGCATTTCCTTATTTTGAAGAAAAATGCATACATGTTTAAGATTTTAAAAGTTATATCTAAGGATGGGACAGATAGATCCAGACAATTTTGTTTTTAATTTGTCTGCAAAAAATGAAAAAAAGTCAAACAATAATACTTCAGTTTTTTGTGTCCCTTTTTCAGAGAGAGAAGTGAAATGTTCTGTTTATCTTAAATATATGTTAAAATCATGTATTTGAATAGCAAGAATAACAAATAATTTTAAACTTTATCATTCTATTAGTTTCAAAATTCAAATGCTTATATGATCATTATATTTATCCTTTTTCAAAAGCAAGAAAGGGTCCATTTGTTTTAGAATAAATAAATGCAATATATAAGGCAAACAGAACTTTTTTACAGGGTTTAATGGAGAGATTAGCATATTTTGTATGCTTATTTTTGCTGCACAAACAGGAGCTTCACATCTAATAAGAATGAAATATTATATAATTATAGCTTTAGCTTGTCAAAAAATCCTGCACTATACTTTTAGCCATGCTGGTATATTGGTTATATACAATTCCTAGTATAAATTCCTTAATAAAGCATCTTGATAAAAAAAATCAACATAAGAATCTAAGACATTGTTAGGGTTCTATATTTTGGGATGGATGTATGATTTTGTTCAGAGCAATCCAACTTTCCCAGAGCCTGATAGCTAGTTGTTTAGCTAGTTATTTTTCCACTCATAGATAGTTCCAATTTTTTGGCACATGACGCAAATGTCATTGCAAATTCTAACACCATATGTCTTAGTGCAAAAATAACAAGTCATTATTTAAAGTAGGAAGTTAAATGTTGTCTAGCATTTCAGGATTTATTAACACCTTGAAAGAAAATTGCTTTCTATCCTATTACTTAAAAGTGCTCAGCTATATATAAATATATAATTTACAGTGTTCCAGCCAGACTGTCTGTTCTGTTTTTTTCACAGATGTACCCAGGCCTGAAAAAAGAGAGACCAAATGTCCCATTCCAGGGTGTGATGGAACAGGTCATGTGACTGGATTGTATCCTCACCATCGCAGTCTTTCGGGCTGTCCTCATAAAGTCAGAGTGCCACTTGAAAGTAAGTAGAAAGTCTTCAGTACAGAAAACACTATGTCACACCACTGGCATGATGACACAAGGCATAGCCTTTTATAAGGGTCATAACTGTATTAACCAATAGCAAGGATCTGCATTATAACAGTGGTATAATTTCATGTCCATTTCAGTGATGAAGATACACTATTATTTATGGGATGAAAAGTCACTAAAGCACCTGAAATTAATATTCCAGAAAAATCTCAGATCCAGAAGGGTGTTGCTTAAGCTGAATACAGTCCATTGCTGAGCAAAACCAGCCTGGCCTAAGGGACCAGATCAGATAAAAACCATGCCATCATAACTAAATGATAATCTTATATCTACTTCACCCTACCACTGCTGGGTAATACTGCATGGGTAAAACTCCAGAACAAAAGCTCAGCACTATGAAACTTAATTGGGTAAGTATCCCTCAACTTCTAGGTATCTCACAGTGTTTACCAGAGTATTCTATTTCAAGTGCCCAGACTCCTAGATTAAGTAAACGAGTGCCAAGATTTTACAAATAAATACATAAAGTCAAGCCTTGTTTGAGCCAAGCTGGAAATGGATGTGGAGACCTCTTGGAATGACTCCAGAAATGGTTTGACATTGATGACTTTTTGATGATTTTTCAACTTCCCAGTCTCTCACATAGCCTTGATATTTCTTGGTACCAGACCTGATTATCAACACTAACCAGGTCTGAACCTGCTTAGCCTTTAAAAGTTTAGCTAAAAGAAACAAACACATTCACTGAACATCTTTCAAGAGCAATAAACACTACAATTTGATAAAGCTTTAACATTTGGTGCATTTTTCTCTTATTTGTATTTGACACCTTACATTATAAAACTACTTACCTATTGTGATCTTCTTCCCTTCGCTTACAGGTAACCTCTTTTAATTTTTTTTTCTTTCTTTCCTCCCTCTTTGAAGGGTAGTGAGCAATAAGTATTGGTGGTAAGAAAACAGAGTTCTAAACAGCCTTCCAACTGTACAATTTGAGACAAAAAGAGAAGTGCGAGGTAGCACACACTATGCAGGTTATAGCATGGACACCTAGTTTGTATGCTGGCCCAAAGCCAAGTTTATGCAACTTTTTATTGGTCTTGGAGAATGGAGGCTGGGGGTTCTTTGCTGCTACAAATCCTCAATATTGCTCCTCTCATGTTTTGTATGAACACCTTGGCCATCGTCAGGATTACTTTACCTTCATAACTATATCTATAATTCAAGAAGATTAGACAAATCAGAACACTATCATGATATCAAGCCATACCAAGTTAAATCAAAGGATGGGCAAAGCACCATCTTATTATCCATTAGGCACAATGCCTAGGGCCTACAAAAGTTTGGGGTATTCTAAAATTAATTATATTTAAGTTTGTATTATTATTTTATGATGCATGAATTTATTACAATAATAAGCAAACATTCTAGTTCAATACAGGTAGTCAACTGAAGTAAAATTTCTGTTGCTTAAGCAAAGCAGATTTTAAATGGGTTGCACTCCCATTTTGTGATTTTTTTTGCTGCAGTTGTGAAGTGAATCGCTGCAGTTATTAAGTGAATCATGTAGTTGCTAAGCAGATCTGGCTTCCACCTTTGATTTTGCTCGTTGGAAACTGGCTGGGAAGATTACAAATGGTGATCATGTGACCTCACTAAACAACTGATTGCAAATTGAAGACTACCTGTACTGTCTAAATTTGTATCATTCCAATTTTATTGGAATTAAATTTGATTTGGGACTTAAAATCAAATTTTCATCCTGAAAATAAAAATTAAATTGGATGCTATTTTGTTTCTCAAATGCAAAAACCAATCAGGTCTAGTATCACTGAGCATGCACATACACACTCACATTCTGACACACCTACTAGGATGTAAGTGAATTGAACTTCCACTTTGCAATCACTCTAGGAAATAAACATAAGTGGGCATTTGAAATGAAAATACTGCCTTATGCTCTTGGTCAAAATAAAATTCCCTATGATTTATTGAAGAATATATACCTAGGGAATATCTTTATAACCCTAAGCCTTTTGCCTCTCTTGGCAGATTGATTTTTATGGCCTCTCATTGTGCTAAAAATAATTGCTACACTGATAGACTACGGAAATAATGTGCTTGGCGCCTCCTGAGGAAAAGGGTTTATATATTTGGCTATTTATTTAAAATATAAAATAGGTATGTTACACTTATGGGGAGAATCACAAATCTGTTATTTCCTGTAGGATTTTTTTTTTTACATATTTCATGATCGGTCTAAAGAGAACAGAAGAAAATTTCCAAGCAATCTTGCAAAAGGGGATAATTTAATTCCAACTTGTTGTTGAAAGCAGAAATAAGCTACAGGAAGAGAATTATTTATTAAATTTATACAATCCCTTTCTAATGATATGAATAGGCATTGTGCCTTGGAATGGTAGGTGTGCTGCCTTTGGTGTTTTCATTTCCCTGAATATATGGAACACAATTCCATTGAATAACAGTCAGATCAACAATTATGTGGCACAGAGCTGGTGATTTGGGGTTTCTTCAAGACTGTATGATGACTCGGAAAATATTCCATCAACTTCAGAGCTTTTAAATGGCACAGCCATGCTGTTCTGTGAATTTAAGTAAAGACTGAGGCCAGTAATAGCCTTGTAATTCAAGGGATATCTATTATGAATGAAGGTGAATATACGTATCCCAGGATAATTCTTCAGGATCCAATCTGGGTTAAAAGTTTTGTCTTCTGACCTTTGGATTCATATGAAAGCCCATTCTCAGAGAACTACCACACACAGAACAGCCTAAAGCACACAAAGTAGTAAGGATGGGCTCCAGCACGAGTTGGAATGCTCAGTAGAAAAACCTCTGGTCCCGGTGACCGACTCAGTTTGGGTCCTGGATATCTATTATACTTGTCATTACTATCCTCTTCTTTTCTATGACCAGCAACAGATAACCTGATCCAAAATTTATTTATTTTATTTATTTTATTTCTTATTTTATTTATTTTATTTCTTATTTTATTTATTTTATTTATTTTATTTATTTTATTTATTTTATTTATTTTATTTATTTTATTTATTTTATTTATTTTATTTATTTTATTTTATTTATTTTATTTATTTTATTTATTTTATTTATTTTATTTATTTTATTTATTTTATTTATTTTATTTATTTTATTTATTTTATTTATTTTATTTATTTGTCAAACATGTACAAGGTAACAAGTATAGGTATGAACATAAAGATGAACAACAGAAGTAAATACAAATAAATGAGGACTGTAAGACAGGGATGGTAGGCACATTGGTGCACTTATGCACGCCCCCTTTAAGGACCTCTTAAGAATGGGGTGAGGTCCATGGTAGACAGTTTGAGATTGAAGCTGTGAGGGTTTGAGGCAGTAACAATGGAGTTGGGTAGAGCATTCCAGGAGTTAACCACTTTGTTGCTGAAGTCCTATTTTCTGCAATCGAGTTTGAAGCAGTTTACCTTGAGTTTGTATTGATTGTTTGCCTGTGTATTATTGTGGTTGAAGCTGAAGAAGTCATTGATGGGCAAGACATTGTAGCAGACAATTTTGTGTACTATGCTTAGATTGGACTGCAGGCAGTGCAGTTCCAGATTGTCCAAGCCCAAAATTTCAAGCCTGGAGGCATAGGGAATTCTATTGTAAATAGAGGAGTGGAGTACTCTTCTTGAGAAATACCTCTGAACCCGCTCAATCATATTAATGTCTGATACACAGCGTGGGTTCCAGGCAGACAAGCTGTATTCAAGAATTGGTCTGTATGCCCTAGTTAGCAATTCAATGTTACTAGAGAAGAAGCTTCTATATCTCTATATATTATATATCTATATATAGAAGACAAATCAATCTATATCCCAAATTCAACTGCTTAAATTTAAGTAAAATCCTATGTAGTTAATATTGAAGCTTTGGTGATAAATTTTATAATATTTATAGAAGTAAAATTACTTTGCTATGATTGGAACTTAATGCTAGGAAAAATGTATTTTAGTTATATTTGCCATAGCTGTTTACAAAGTGCCTTAAATATATCTTTGAATCAGAGGTGATCTTCAGCAGGTTCTGACCAGTTATGGAGAACCGGTAGCAGAAATTATGAGTATTTGGAGAACCAGCAAATACCAGCTCTGACTGGAGATTTTACAGTATCTTTCCCCAAGCCATGCCCATAGAACCGGTAGTAAAAAAAATTGAATCCCCCCACTGCTTTGAATCATTTTATTTTATCAAGAATTACTGAGGTAAATTACAGAATGCAACTGCACGAAATGAACAAAAATAGTTTAATAGCTCATACAGTTTGAGAGGATAATGCAGCTATTATTCCACAGCTGGGAAGTCAGTTTGCCAGTAAAACTACCTTCTACCTTCCAATATCCATTCAAGATTAACAGTGTTAAACTCAAATAGATAGATAAAAGATGTTGGATAGATAGACAGACAGACAGACAGACAGACAGACAGACAGACAGACAGACAGACAGACTATATCTATATATTATCAATCAATCAATCAATTTATTTATCTGTCTAATCTCAGATATAGGAACATTCAGATGATGAGGGCTTTTCAAGAAGTGGACACAAATTTCTATTCTCTAAGAAAGATGGGCAATTATTTAACAAATATTAGGTTTGTTATCTTGGGTGATGTATAGTGGTTCAAACTCTTAAATTCTCCACTTATTTTGAATTATGTAATAACTGTTTGAGATGGTTTCTTGTTTATGTATTTATTCATCCATTTAATCACTTTACATAGCCACCTCTTTTGCAGTTGTGACTGGTCTTAATATTTTTTTTGGTTGAAACTTCACTAGTATAAACTTAAGGGTATAAATCTTGCCCTAGTTGCCAGCTCTGAACTATTCTGTAACATTAGCATGGATTTCAGGATTTTTTGTTTGTTTGTTTTTTCTTTTTATTTAGTCCTTGCCATGCATGAAAATGTTTTAAAGTGCCCCACTCCTGGATGTACAGGAAGAGGACATGTCAATAGCAACCGCAACACTCACAGAAGGTAATCGAAGTCTGCTTCCATTGGTGATAATCTAGTATCTTCAAAAATGGTATGTTTTTTGTAAATATCTGTCATTTCATATAAAGCAACAATATAGGTAATCCTTAGATAATGACCATTTATTCAGCAACTATTTGAAGTTACAATGACACTGAATAAGGAGACTTATGGCAGGTCCTTGAAGTTATGGCTATTGCAGCATGCCCACATTCACATGATTGGGATTTGGGCACTTGGCAACTCACAGTTATAATTATCACACTGTCCTGTAGTCATATGATCACCATTTGAGACCTTCATTGCTGGCTACTGACAAGAAAATTCATGGGAAAGCTAGCAGGAGATCACAAATGGAGATCTTGCAGCAACATTGAACCTGACAACTGTGTGGGATTTTCCTAAAACCTGAAACTGGGACTGTTGTAACTGTCATCATAAATCAGCATAGTCACATGATGTCACACTTTACAATTGCCTCACTTAGCAATGGAATTCCTGGGTCCAAATATTGTAGATAACTGAGGACTATCAATATAACCTTTTAACTCCTGAAAGAAAACTTCCTTACACAAACATCTTCAGTCAAATGAAATATTTTTAGTTTTCAAGGTTTTTACTGAAAGACAATGACACATATAATTAATTCTCCTGTTGAAATTAATGAAAAAGATAAGTACCTAATTGAAGAAATTATGTTATTTCATTTTACAGTATTAAGATGTGTTAGAATTGAATCAAATACATTTATTCCTAAATCATAATCTATTGACAACTCCACTTAAGAAAGTCAGGATGCCAATATAAATACGTGCTATGCAAATGTCAGATAATGTATGCCCTCCCCATTTTTTTGCTTTCAATTATATACTTACTGTATATATACTTTATACAGGAATGTGGCATCATCTTCATTTCACATGAAATCCTAAATGTAAACTGGATATTAAAACATCTAAAACCACAAAGAATTTAAAATTAACCATACAAAGAACCATAAAGATTGATCAAGTGATCAGTTCTGAATAGTGAAAATATCTGATTTGATTCAAACTTGATATACTTTGGCATACTGATTTACTCTTCTAAGAACTTATGATCCATTTATGATAGACCATGATTTAATTTAGTGCATTAAAATCATTGATAAGGTATACTTGGCTGATTTCCCAGAGAAACAAGTATTATATCCCAAAATGTTCAAGATCAACATTGCTACTAGAGAGGTCAAAGATCTTACAAGTCTAAAGAGATAATGATGTTATGGAAGTAATGAAATAATTGTGTTTGCAACACTCAGGTGGAAAGAATGGACAGCCTCCTTGTATGTGAATGGGCATGGGAACTTAGCTGAATTAAAATCATCAGGGGATGTATAGGAGAGGAAGATCTAACAGGCAAAATAGCTTGAAAAAGAAGATATAGCTAGATTTTAAAGGCTGTTATAGCAATTGACATGATAATCAGAATAAAAAGGGCAACGAGCTGAATAATATTTTATTTTTGATGCAAAACACATATTAGAAATCCTAATACCTCTGAGTATAAATTGTTAACAATTACTTTTGTATGACAAATATTTTCAATAGTCTTTCTGGATGTCCAATTGCTGCAGCTGAGAAAATGGCAATGTCTCAGGAAAAAGGTCAACATGAATCACTCAAAACAGGGCAGTGCCACGATCAGATCTACAGGTAAAAAATTTAAATCATATTTATAGTAGATTCATTCTGGAAAAAGACATTTATAATTAATATTACATTCATACTATAATTTGTAATGTTCTGAAATATTTTGAATTGATAGTGTAGGTAGACGTTCACAGATATTAAGTTAATACATTATAAAATGTAAAAGGTGCAGATGAGACCTCATTATTCATTATTATAAACAATATATTCCTAATGCACCCCCAAACCCCTGAGAATTTTGCTACTGAAATTCAATAACAATTTGGATGATCTAAGCACCGTAATAGCATTTAGACTTATAGACCACTTCACAGTGTTTTACAGCCCTCTCTAAGCAGTTTATAGAATCAACATATATTGCTCTAACAATCTGGGTCCTCATTTTACCAACTTCAGAAGGATGGAAGGCTGAGTCAACCTTGAGCCGGTCAGGATCGAACTGCTGGCAGTTGGCAGAGTTAGCCTACAATACTGCATTCTAACCACTGCACCACCACCAAATGCTTGCATTTACACTCATCATGTCTTGCCACCTGAAAGATCACCACAACCCACCAATTGACCATGGTTACTATGCAGAGAAATTGGGACTTATTTCATTTATAAATCTATTTGTTATAAGTACTCTTTGATTTACGATCACAATTGAGCCTAGAATTTATGTTGCTAAGTGAGAAATTTGTTAAGTGAGTTTTCCCCCATTTTATGACTTTTCTTGCCACGTTTGTTAAATGAATCACTGCAGATGTTAAATTAGTAACACGATTGTTAAGTGAATCTGGCTTCCCCATTAACTTTGCTTGTCAGAAGGTTGCAAGAGATTGTCGTGACCCCGGGACACTGCAACCATCATAAATATGAACTGTCTGTCAAGCATCTAAATGAAAATCATGTGAGCATGGGGATGCTGCAAAGTTTATAAGTGTGAAAAATGGTCATAAGTCACTTTTTCAGTGGCATTGTAACTTTGAACGGTCGCTAAATGAACTGTTGTAAGTTGAGAACTATCTGTACTAACTCAAATTCATTATTTTTTAGTATTAACTCATATTCATTAACCTATTTATATTCAGAATACCATTAAATTTCTTATTTATTACAAAAAGTATAAAGAAAATGTATGATATATTAAAATGTATAAAGGGAGGGGGAAAGCCCACTCTACACAGGGAAGACCTAGATGAAAAGATATGTCTTTAGGAGGTACCCTCTAATTTCAAAGGAAAGCCTTCCAAAGAATATTTGCTACCACTAAAAAGACTGAAATGTCTGGAATTTCTGACAATTCCCAGTTGAAATCAGCAGTAAGACCTCTCAAGATGACCATAGCGATTGTACAGATTTATTAAAGGAAAGATAGGCATATTGAGATTATGATTCCAAGTTGTTCTGAGCTTTATAAAGAAGTCTCCCTGCACTTGAGTTCACATCCACATCCATATCTTGCCATGCCTTTCTTCCAGAATGCTGTTTGACATGTCAGACTAGTCCATAACCCTATGCTTTTGTGGTGATCTTCCATTCAAATAAAAAGCAGGTCCAAACCTGCTTAGCTTTTTCAAAATCATCCAAGGTCAGTTAGGAGATGCCATCTGTTGTAACTCAGGGCATTATAAGCCAGTACTAATTGGCATGGTAGCTAATGGGTAGCCAGCACTGTAGCTTCAATATATGAATACTATAAATATGGCTAGGAGCCCACCAAGAAGACTGGCCACTCATCTGCATCTTCCAGGACAGAAACAAAGAAGCCCCACATATAGTTTATTTCAGGAATCCAAATGTGAGCTCACCTACTCTTGAACAACAATTACCAGGCTATTCTTTTCCAGAAAAGGGACTGGTCTTTTCCAGAAGTATGGACAGCTATGAAGGATTCAGAATGATCGATGGCATGTAGGGAAAAAAACAACGCTGGCAATGCTAGTGTTACCATCACCAACACTAGAGAGAAATTCAAAAGAAACTTTGAAACTTTGAAACTTCCTGACAAAAGTAAAAAATGCAAGGGCCTTTCTTTTAGGTATATGGTAAATGCCAGGTTGGTTCACAATATAACTAGTTATCCATTATTTGGGTCAAGATAAAGAACTGACCTAAAGGAATAAATTCAACTCAAGTTTATAATTCTAATTTCTCAGAGAAACACCAACCAAGGGTAGGTGTGGAGCACTAAATTTAGGAAAAGACATAATAGATGAATCAGTCAAAGCTGGTAACAGGTATGCCTAAACAAAAAACCCACTACATTTTTTTGCTTCAGCTGTGAGGAGATTTATGGTGAGAAAGATAATTCTGTAGATCAGGGGTGTCAGACTTGTGCCCCACAGCCTGGATGCATCACATGCTGGCCCTGTCCCCACCCAGTTTGGCAAAGGGGGGAAAGTCCGATATGTCGTGTGATGCCACTGTGACAATGTGAATTTGACACCCTTGCTGTAGACTAATATTTCTCAAGCTTGACAGCTTTAAGCATGCTGGCTGGGGAAATCTAAGAGTTGAAATCTGCACATCTTTATTTAGAAGAAAGGACCTTTAAGAAAATATATGAACAATATTCATTTTTATATCTTACTATTTTATCTTTCCTAGTTCTAAACAGTTAGTTCTTATCTGCACCTCTAACAAATTACTCTGTCAGGTGTATCTCTGTTAGAGAATGAATCTAATAATAATTGTTATTATTCTGATATTTTATGTCTTCATTGTGAAGGACAAACTTGGTGAAACATTTTGAGTTATCTCAGTACAGCTGCCGATCTGCCCAAGCACTCCCTTCCTCCAGAATCACTTTTACAAGAGAGCAAGAGAAATATGGGAAAGTACCCTTTGACTATGCTAGCTTTGATGCCCAAGTCTTTGGCAAATGCACAATGATGCCAACTATACAAGGACAAAAGCCCACACAATCCTTTGAATGTAAGTAAGAGACTGACAAAATTAAACTGGTTTTTTGTTTGCTTGTTTTACCTCCCAGGGTGTACATACCAAGCAAAACAAGTTATAGTTAAAAGTTTCACTATGGTAAAGGAGGAGGGAGGGAGGGGGGGAGGGAGAGAGGGGGAGGGGGAGGGAGGGAGGGAGAGAGAGAGAGAGAGAGAGAGAGATGATTCCTCTAATATTTGTATTGTGATCTCCTGTAATCCTTTATCTGATGTACTGGTTGCTTATTGGCTGCTCTTTGCATTTGTCTATACAATTCTGTGGTTAAATTATCCATCTACTTTTACCTCTTTGCTCAGTCCTCCTGCTGAAGAAGTTTCAGTGCAGCTTGCTTAAATAAATCTGTAGTTGAGGTGATTTTAAAAAAAGATTGTTTTGAAATGGATACAATTTTAGCTATCTCTAAAGAGAAGGTGAACATAATCCTCAAAGTATAAATTTTACTTCCTCTAAATTTAAAACCTTATTTTACAGAATATTTTTCAGAATCTCCCAATTAATTATGCTTGCTGCCTTGAGTTAATCAAAATATTTTTAAAAGGCAGATAGAAATCTAATAATAATAATAATTGACAGAAACATCATCAGTCAGTTGCAAGTTTACTTGGAACAGCTTACAACCTGTGAGTATAACTTAAACACCATCAAACAACAACATCTGCTTATCCCAGGTCCTTGGGAAGGACTTGATCAGAGGACAAATGCCAAATCCAATCTAAACATCTGGTGGACTGTGCAATAAACCATAATAATAATAATGAGTCTTTGGCTTCATATTTCTTAAGAGTATCCAACGCTTTGGCAACATGATTTTCAGTGCATAGTTGGGAGAAGATACTGATAAACTATGTGTCATGCACATTTTGAAAACTCATGTTCTAGGGCGTTATTAACTAACAAATCCAGTTGATTACTGAGATACAGATAGACACAATATTGTGTTGTACCCCACATGAATTGCCATCTTATAAATATCTACTTTTAAATTCTTGGTTAAAGATACAATTATATAGGAACTTAACTGGCAGCACACTTAAACTGAATAACTGGAACTCAACTGCATTCTAAGTGGTTGTGCAGTTGATAATATGAAAATGATAATACATCCCAAGAGATTCAATTCAAGAACCAAAATGAATATTGCATGAACTATTGAGTTCAGGCTAAACATATATAAAATATTAATAAAACTTTTTTAAAGAGACAAAACTCTACCAAAAAGCAGGAATGTCCATGAGGGAGGGCTTAAGAATTTGCTAGATGGCAGGCATGGCATCATAATCAGATTCTACAAAGTTTCCTTCACATGGCATTAGAACATTTTAGGAAATGGATTTACAATGTTGTCCTCTACTGATTTTGGAAGTACCTGAACATTTATATGACAACACCATCTAATGTTTTAAATCTATTAATTTCTGAAACTTAAAAAAAATGTTGAGTTTTGTGTCAAGAGTAGCTTTTATTTCATATATTCTTTGTCTATTTTACTGTATGAACTGATTGCCTTTGTCCCTTTAATAGGAGGACAGTTGCATAGAACTACTTCTAATCAAATCTCTCTTCAACAGCAAAGCATTTTTCAAATCCAGGGAAATTTACTAATCGGCAGCCTACTGCTAGCGCCCACACACAGAGTCCTTGCCATGCCAGCTCTTATCGCTACAGTCAATGTAGTGAAGACACCCACATAGCAGCAGCTGCTGCAATTCTGAACCTTTCCACCCACTGTAGGGAAGCTACAGAGATCCTCTCCAGCAAACCACGGAGTCTGTCTGCCAAGGTAGGCAAATCCAGAAACCTGGAGGGTGCGTTAGCTACTGAACTGTGTGAATAAACTGTCTTTCATATTAGTGATTGCATTCAATTGTTTCCCCTTCCTACCCCTGAAAAGAGCAGCATCTTTCTGAGTATTCCTTTGAAAAGTGAAAGGACCATGTTCTGGAGAGTTGTCATAAATGGCTTCTACATGGAAAAGAACTATGGAAGGACATGGTGCAAAACTGGTTTAAAAGGCTTCTTCTCACATGAAATAAAAACTACTATAAAATTAATCAAAATATTACGAGATTCAAGTTTGGATACATTGGAGATATATACAGGTTTTGGTGAGATGGTGATTGACGAAAATGTGTAGCTGTTAACTTTTTATTTTAATTAGGCTTTTTTTTCATTGATTATAAGGCAACGGATTCATTGTTTTTGTTGTTTTGTTACTTAATAAAATAGGATTCTCAACCTTCTTCTAGATTTGCTGGACTTCAGTTTTGCTAAGGAATCCCAAAAATGTTTAACAAGGCAGTCTTGCTAGTAGGCAAATTAGGTTGCATTAGTATCATTCACAACTAATGTAGTAGCAAGAACATCATTAAATAGTGCCAGTAGTGCCTTGAACAAGCACATTGAGAAGGTCTTGTAGAAAAGATGAACAGGCAAAGATGTGTAGAGCTAGATAGGTTAATAAAGAAGTATTATACAGTGACATGTCTTTGGGCTGGAAAAGATAAATGACTTTTCCCAGTCCTTATACTAAACACTTTAGCCATAGTTCTCAGTCTTGCTATCTGAGCAGCCATTAATCTGGTGCCGGAGGATCTTCTTGAGTAAGATTGTTTCCTTCTGGCAAATGTATCATTTTAATAGCATAGCAAAATATGGAAAATCAATTGAAGCTCACAGACGTTCAACAAGAATATTCTACTTTGCCTTTTCCAAAAAACCAAAGAAGTTAAGAGTCTTATTTTCTAAGCCCAATTATCCAGGCAATTTCTTTTTAACAAGTTTTATCTGGAGCCACAATTTTATTTACTACCTTGGACCAAGAAAGTATTGTAGTATTAGCTATGGCAATCCCTACTCTCATCCCACTGTGTGGAAAGAGGTTGATGCCAGAAGCAATATTAAACTGCTGCCCCCACCTTTGGCTGACCTTAGAAACAGACCATTCTTGCCAAAGAACAGTAATTGTGTGTGTGTGTGTGTGTGTGTGATGTTCAATTACACACCTGCTTTGTATTTGCCAAAGAGAATGTGATTGAAGCAATTCCTAGTCACAACTGGAGCACATAGTAAGGATAACGAGCGTACAAAAAAGTTTTTAATATACAGTTAAAATATAATATGTTCTTCCTCTGTCAGTTCTTACTTTTGCCAAACTTCCACAGAGAAAACTGACAACCAGGGTTACAGAAGGGCCAAGAAAATTAGTTTTTGACTAAAACAAAGCAAAGAAAGGTTGAAAGAGATGGATTTGCCAGAATCAAACATATTCTTTTTATTTTGTTAAAATAATATCCCTTTTAGAGAAATTGAGATTTTAAACAGGATAATATACATTATGATTTTTTTGTTGCTTATGTGTGAAAGAAAAAAAAACATGATCCAAAACTTATTCTAAAACTGTATGGTTTTATTTGTGTGATAATCACTCTGATTTTCAGTCTTGTCTCCAAAAATATTTATAATTTATTTTTAATTATGCATATAATTTTCTCAGAAGGTATTGTTATTACATTTAAAATAATATAAAGCAAGGAATCTAAAATTCTGTAGTTCCCTCTCCACTGAGCTGGGAACATTTTCTGTGAAATAAAAAATAAAAATGAATTTGGGAACTAGCTTTCCTTTCCAATGTTTTTGCAGAGAAAAAGTGCTAATCTAACAGCTCATAACTCATCGAAACTACGATAAGGAGAAAATCTCTCAATAAGCCACATACTTTAATCTAGCAAAGAGAGAGACACAGATGGACAGAGAAAGAAAGAACCAAGCAAAATTATTTAGATTGTTTATCATGCTTTTCTATTGTGTATTTTCTGTTCACCATCATCCAATAAAAAATTATCTTCATGTGGAAAATTATATGAGGAAAAATGACTGTCCACTTTCAAACTTAACCTCAAGAATGAGAATAAATTTAGTGAGGCTTATATTAATAATTTAGTTGTAATGCTTTTACATTGTTGTATAATTAATTCCTAAATTGCTTTTAATGCACTTAGAAATAAAGCATCTTTCATTGAAAAAAATACGTGTTTTGATTAACCTATCAAAACAATATAATGAAACTTTCTAAAGTTTGAGATCTTTAATCTGTTTTTATAACAGATTTTAAGGGATTTTTTATTTCCATGTTAAGAAAAAATAGAAGTGATCTGTAATCAAACTGCGTATTTATTTAAGAACACAGATCTCCGTAACTTAGTTTTCTGTATGAAATGAAGCAAGGAAGAAATCAACATCAATGAAATACAACATATTTAAATGCAGAGTTATGAATTCTTACAAAGAATTCTCTGGATCAGTTTGAATAACCAAATAAATTAAACCAGATTGTGCTCAAAATCTTACATTTTCTATCACTACATGCAAAAGATAGGGCACTTTTCCAGCATTGTTTTTAATGGTTCCAATACATTTAAATAATTACAAATGGTTCAATATAAATATTTTATATTATAGGCACCACAGTAGAATATGAGCTTGAATCACCAATTTATCCCCAGATTTAAAGAAATTGGTTGTTTAGTTTGCGTTAGAGAGTGTTCTGAAAAAGATTTAGGAAATGGTGACACACTTAACTTCCCTTCTATTTAAATTCTTGGAAATATGCCTGTTGTGATATCACTTCTTGCCACAGTTTTGTCTGATATGATCTCATACCTTGTGTAATTGCAATTCAAAGAAGGAGATGCATGCAGTATATTTTATCTTTATCTTTCTGTGGTGTTTTGCCAAGAAATCTATTTAATGTTTGGGTGTCCCCCGCACAGGTTTAGACAGAGTGGCATATGTGTACTGTATCTTGAAAGAAAACACAACAGGAAAACAAACAGCATGAAATATTTAGCAGAACAAGCATATCTGATGTCTCTTAATTATGCCTGGTGCTGAAACTGATGAATAGATAACAAAACAGAACCCAGGAATCTGGATTGTGGTATTAAGGTATATTTAAATATAAGTCAGGGATACCACTGCAGTCAATACATTTAAAGCTGTTACACTGCAGTATAAATGCTGAGCAGAATAATTTATTTTAAATTTTTTTTAAAACTAATTCTTACAGTTTACTTTTTGATGATTATTTTTTTAATCGACAGATTTTTAATTAAATAGAATAGCATGAGACATTAGGCATTTACAGGCCCAATCAATGAATTTTGAGTAAATTTGTTTGGTTAAATTTGTCTCATATTCTTAATTGATGAATGATGAACAGTAATGGGATTTAAATGCTGAATGGCCAAACCATCAGGATGGAGCTTATAACTATCTGGGTATTTTATAGTTGTATAATATCAAGCATGGACAAGTTAAAATATGATTAGTAAAGAATACAATTGAACAGTGGAAACACCACCAAAGCCATGAATTCCTTAGCCATACCTGTGATATGATACACTGCTGGAATTATGAACTATCTACAAGCTCATTTGGACAGTTTGGACTAAAAAACAAGAAATTGATGACTATTCACTATGTATATCATTCCTGTAATGATATTGATAAATTATACCCATCCTGCATAAATGGAGAAAGTTTATTTCAAGTCAAACAAACGGTCAAAGAAGAAAAGCCTGCATTAACTGATTATGTAAAAGATGGCCAAGAACAAGCACCGATGCAAGTTAAAAATTGGAACTTATTAAATGTACAGGAAATGAACATGAACATTCAAATTTAATAAAAACAAGAATAAAATACTAACAAGGAGAAATATTCCATGGTCAGTTTTTACAAAAGATGAAAGGAAAATGGATAAAGATAAAACCTGGCAATGGTTTACAACTGGAACATTAAAAAAAGCAACTGAATGCTTAATTTTGACTGCTCAAGAGCACGGCATTTGAACTAATGCAATTAAGGCCAAAACTGAAAAATCATCAAATGATTCAAAGTGCAGATTGTGCAAAGATACAGAAGAAACAGCAGATCATACACTCAGTTTGAGCAAGAAAATCACGCTACATAATAAAGTCGCCAGAAAACTGTTTTGGTCGCTTTATTGTGAAACATGATGCACAAATAGAATAATGAATTATTGGATTAGACATATTTTAAATGTGGTGTTATAAGACACATTTCTGCAGGAGTTCGTATTGTAAAAAAATATTTTCGGGCAATAATAGTCTGAAATGTGATATGACCATTGGCTCAGATTATTTTAAAAGAGATAGATGTATGTAACTCAATGATTAGAAATTATTATGAACAATATGTATATACGAATAATTATTATGAATTATACGTATATCCATATTATTGCGTTATACCTCTGGTACTTTATTTCTGATAGAAGGAAACAAAAATATTGCTGATGAAATGCAACTGTTGATAGTACAGAAGCAAGAAATTGATTCCGCTTCATTCCTCTTGTAAATTTTGTTGAAACATCAAAAGCTCACTGTGGAAATAGGATACCAGACTAGGCAAGTCCTTGACTTAATTTAGCATAATTCTTATATGTGCCATGAGATTTGTGTTCCATACTGAGATTATAGGATTGAGTAGGTTTAAGAATATTCATAATCTTTTAGATTATCAGCTGCATTAGTATTGGGATCCCCAGATATTATTCTCTGTAATTCCCATCATACTATGTCTAATATTTAAGGATGATGGGGATTGTAAACCAGTAATAACTGATATGTCTTAAACTTGGTAACCACTGCTGCAGTTAATCTTCCTTATTCCAAACATGTTGTGGCGCATGTTTTAGGACTTTATGACTTCAGAATAACAGTCAGGTAACATTCTTAACCAGATCAGGTAAAGCTAGCT